GCAGGAATCCCAACTGCTATTTACACCTGGAGTCAGGTGGGCAGGCTAGTTATGCAGGGACTTCAGAGGTGTTACATTTGCTGAAGTAAAGCTTAGGAAAAGAAAATTAGGAAGAATCTTTCTTCCAGGAAAATGCATTTGCAGCTAATTCCTCCTGCCTGTTGGTGTGCACACAGCAGGTATTCCACCGGCACAGAGATCCTTCTTCTTTACATTAGATTCTGCCACCAAATGATGTTGGTCAGATTGATCCCAGCCCTCAAAACACCAGAGAAACAAACACGGGTTTTGTGTTTAGGAACACTAGCCAAACTCAGACAGGGGCACACGTGAGAGTCCTGCATGCAGACTCACCCACATCTGCATGTTTCAGAGCTCCAACATCGTTGGTCCCATCCCCACACATCAGCGTGACATAGCCCAGGCTCTTCAAAGTAGTGATTACAAACTCCTGCAAAAAGAAACGCGTAGCGAGAGCCGTCAGCCTGCATGTTCTGATACGCTTCCACGTGCGCTGGGTTACATGTCTTGGTCAAGTGCTTCTGTTCCGCAGGAACTCACTGGCCTCAGAGCCAGACTCCGAAAGCTTCACCTTCCGGCTTTGTTTTAGGCATGCTGAGCCTGTTATCTTTAGGATAACAACGTGGCACATCCTGAGCGTTGGTTCGTGCCTCCTGCTGGCTTGGACATTGGGAGAGGTTATGCTGCTTTGTTGAAAACAGCTTTAGCATTAACCATGGGCTAGCATCTACGTGGCTCCCAGGCACCACATGAGCCCTGTTGAGAACCCTGCTAAAACTGGGGTTTACAAGCAGCTGAAATCTCTCACCTTCTGCTTTGGCACCACTCTGGCAAACACCTGGATGTGTGGTATAAGTTGCAGCAGCTGCTGCCTGTTCACAGACTGTAGGTGAGAGAGACCTTCCCCAGTTACACACAGGTTGTACTGCTGTGTCAGCTCTCGCAAGGAGGCTGGCAAGACCGGGAGCACGACAGCACCATCGACGGACTGCCACTGCCAGCTGAAGTCTGGAAAGAGAAGCACGAGCTTGACACGGGCATGTCTGTGAGGTGCCTTGCCGCGAGAAACGCTCCCAGCCAGTCAACAGACACTGAGGCTGGTGCTTGCAGCCCCTCAGCATTATGGACACAAGGCCCTGCACTTCTCGGGACAGTGACATGCCCACCCCCCATCTAGGTACTGTCTTTACGTGGACCCTCCTTCCCCACAGTGAGTGACACTGCGCTCAGCTTCCCTGGATGGCCTCTGAACCTGCACAGCAAGGAGGCCTTCAAGCTGCCATTATTTCTGTTATTTTGGTGCTCAGATAGCTCAGTTTAGGAGCTGGCAGAGGAATGTTTGTAGCTTGCATAGTACTCCAAGCCAGAGAATAGAGGGGCAAAGGACAGAGGATTATCTGGGATTCTGGAAAGCGAGTCGTTTCCTTTATCAGCACCAAGCAGCAGTGCTAATAGTATGTGGCTAACTGATACAATGCCCCAGTGAGCTTTGGCCGTTTGTCCTCCAAAACACAGAGCATCTTCTGCATGGGATCAGTTACCTTTGCTCACAGGAGGCTGCAGAATGAGGGTGTGCTCCCTCTGGAGGAAGTGTAGCTCCCGGGCCACGTGGCAGGCAGTGAGAGGATTGTCTCCTGTTATCATCACTACCTGAGAGGAAAGCCAGAGGGGTGAAAAATCAGTTCTGGGTAGATAAGCAGTACTTCACAGCGAGTCTTCTTTACGCTGAAAAGACTTCTGCCTAGCTTGGATGCTGGTGACATTCCCTACGAGATGTAGCTCTGTGCAGCACCCTGCAGAAAGGCTTTCTCTCTGGGCCAGGGCAAATCCCACTGCAAAAATAACACCCCATCCACAAGGTGTCCCTGCCCTACCAGTAAGGCTGGGATGCTGCCGACGCTTACGTGGTGCGATGCATTCTGGATCTCCCTGATGACGGATTTGGAGTCAGCTTTGAGAGGACAGGAAACCACAATGAATCCAACAAATCTAAGATCACACTCCAAAGCTTCACGCTTCATCTCTCTCACCTGCCAAAGCAAATCAGCAAACCGAGCGTTACCTGCTGCTCTGTAGCAGCCATCATGTTTTCCAGTGGGCGCTTCCTTGCAATCAGAGCATCGCTAGAAACACAACTCGCGCTCCGAGATGCACAGAGCAACCCTGGACAGTGCCCAGCTGCTCTAGAAGAAAAGCTTCTTGGGCACAAAGCTCCACAGAGACAGACCTGAAAACAATTATGCGTGCCCGTGCCATGTAAAACCATGTTCACAGCTAAGAAGTTCAGTGCTAAGCCTCTTCAGTTGCTACACGGAAAGAGTTGACCCTGCTTTCTGAACCGGGAAACAGATATATTGATCAATGATGCACAGGAATTCAAAGCTGGTACCACAACGCAGAGGCTGTGATCTTCCCAGAAAATGCAGATTGTAAAAACCTACACGGTTTCAGCAGCTTTGGGCAACCACATCCCAAGAGATCCCACCGCTCTTTCCTGCTCACACCACCTCTGATTCCTTTAACAGGCGCTCGATTTCGAGGCTTCAACAGACAGATACCTGCTGGTGAGTGAGGTGCCCCAGTTCTTTGTAGCCAAGGGCCAGCACTCTTGCCCCCTCATGTGAAATTTCCGTGTGGACAGCATGATAGTTGCTTGGGCACTGCGACAGCTAGAGAAGGCGTGGAGAAAAGCATCATATTAATACAGTTCCAATTCAGTAGCGCATTCCAGCATTTCACGTTACATATGCAGAGCAGGGAAAAGAGGCACTTGTGGGAGGGTCCCTCACCATGAAGGGCAAAAGAGGGCAGGTTTAGCCCTCTGGTATCAGCAGAAGCAACAGGGCCAGGAATGCATACGGTGAGATATTCAGATCTCACTGGGATTAGACTGAAACTCCCCAGTGGAGTCTGTTTTCAGGCACGGGTTCACAGTGCCGTTTTGCAGGATGAAATCCCTACGTCATTCAGGTTCCAGACTCGGCAGAGACAAGCAGAGGTGTAAGGGGACGAGTGCACGTGCCAGAGAGGCCCTTCCTCTCCTAGAGAAATGCGCTCACCATTTTGTGCAGCGTCTCTGGGGCCCCTTTCACAGCTGCAATGTAACAGAGATCAGTCGAGCCGATCTTCTCATACGACGCCAAGACAGACATTCTTTTCAGGGCACTGGCAAAATGAAAGCGCTGGTGAATTTTCAGTCCCTGAGTTTTAATACTTCTGGGGAAAACTTTCTCATCTGGAAACAAACAGATCAGGAAATCCTGAAAGGTTTCTCGGTATCAAAATCAACATCCCTCCCTTCGGGTCCCAAAGGAACCCATAGGTCACCGAGATCATATGAATTTCCTCTCCTTAGACACAAGCATACAGAGCTAGGAATTCTGTATGAGAACTCTGAGAATTAAGGAGTATAACTGATCAGAACACCTACGTGCACTAGCATGAACAGCTACACAGCAAATTGAAGGTGCAGTTATAGCATACATTATTACAATCGGTAAAAATCCAGAAGCAAAAACAACAGCAGCATAGGTTTCAGCGGGGCATCATAGAATCTTTGGGTTAGAAGGGACCTTTCAAGGCCATCTAGTCCAACCCCCCTGCCATGACCAGGGACATCTCCAACTCCATCAGGTTGCTCAGAGCCCCGTCCAACCCAACCTGGGATGTTTCCAGGGATGGGGCATCTACCACCTCTCTGGGCAACCTGGGCCAGTGTCTCACCGCCCTCAGCATAAGACATTTCTTCCTTAGATCTAGTCGAAATTTGCCATCTTCTAGTTTAAAACCATCACACCTTGTCCTATCGCAACAGGCCCTGCTAAAATACGTGTATGTATACAATATTCCTGGAAGATTGCTACTTTAGTTACCTGTGCAAGTGAAAGCCAAGAAAGCAGAGCAGAAAGCCTCCAGAGATACTGCCCGCAGACCACGCTAAAACCCACACGGCCCTGTTCTCACTACTGCGATCTGCGCTAGTCACACCCTGGTTTTACTGAGTTGGCACAATCGTAACTAAAGGACACCAACCCGAGCATGCCAGTTGCAGAATGCAGTATCTGCAGTCCTGAGAACAGAATTCTACTATTTGCTGTCCCTCTGACACGCAGTGCAAGGATTTCCGCTGCCCCAAACCAGTTCCTGGGATCATACCAGATGGAATTCACTCCTTGCAGAAAGCTGGCGTGAGGCATAGGAAATCTCCACAGACTAGATAATTTCATGCTCAGAATTGACAAAAACAGTGCTATCATCATCACGCCCCCAAAAAAATCCACTCCACAACCCACAGCATATGTAAACAGGGCTCAGGTATCAACCAGGGAGGAGCTGGAAAGATCTTTTACCTTTGGTCAGGGTCCAGTCCACAGCCATCAACATTGCCTTCTCTAACGGATCTCCCACCAGTGTCCCATCATCCAACTGTACCAGTGAGTGGCAAGTAGCAATCGCTCGGTGGGTTTCTACAGGAATGTCAGATACTGGTGTCACTTCCTTCCCATCCCTGCAGTATAAAAAAGACTGCCCATGTTAACAGACCCCATTCACATGATCTCAGACAAATTCTGGAATTTTTCCCAGCAAAAAATTCCTACTCTAAGACAGTAAACAGTGGAGCTTCTCATGGTGAGATCAAAGCCAGAGGAAATCTGGCACTGTCTCAACTGCAAACAGTGCCAAAGCCCATAATTTCCACCAGTCCTCCAAAGCAAACTTGATTCAAGCAGAACGCTCAAAGTAGAGGCCTGAACTAACACATTTAAGTAACTGTAGAATCAAAGGACTCAGATGTGTCTCTGCTGCAGCATCCAGCCTTCAAGCACAGTTCATTATGGCAGTGGAATGAGAAGGCAGGATGCTACTGCATGGAGGAGCAAAGGTCTCAGTTACATACAAAACCTACGCAAGAAGTCCCCCAAGACAATTAAATTCACAAGTCCTGGGCCCATAGTTGTTGCCAGAGACCAAGGACCCTCTCTCCTTCCAGCTCAATCCATGTCTTTCACTCTCTGAATCCCTGTTTATCTTCTCTTCCCCACTAGAATGTGGTTTCACCTGTGCCTGAGGAGTTCGCACGGTGCCCAAAGCCCAGAGCACAGCAAATCCTATAACAGAAGTCACCCAGGACCTACCTGAGCCCAGCTACTCCTCTCACTACCAGGTGATCGCTGGTTAACGTGCCAGTTTTGTCAAAACAGCAAACTTGAACTTTGCCTGCAAAGGGGATGCGGAAGGGCTCTGTACAGTACACATCTAGAAGAGAGGAGAGGAAATTCTGTGAGAGATCAGCTACAAGAAAGCCGGGACAGGATGCTCAGTGCCTTTTATCACGAAACAGGAGCTGTCAACACGCTTCTCAGCTAGAGTTAATGAACCCTGAATTCCCCATTCTGAATTTTTGTGGCATTTGAAACCAGAACAGACACCAAGTTGTAGCAGTGATATAGTCCAACACAGAAGTCATTGGCCTCCCTATTCCACGTATAGGAACCTGCTCAATGCAGAACTGCAGGACTGTTGAGCAAGCAGGCTTTCATATGAACATATTCCCTCCTACACTTGATGTAGGACCCACTTCAAAGCACACACCTGCTAAGTTCTTTGGGGTTTAAACCCCCTCATACACACCAACTCCAAAACCCATACTGTCACTGTGCAGAAACCGTGGACACTACTGCAATTTCACCCTCATTTCCTCACCAACGTTCCCACAGTTCCAGACACAAGAAAGCAGTCCCATTTTTGTTTCTGGGTTTAGGCTTAGTACTTACAGAGCTTGGCCAAGGCAATGAGGGAGGTGTTGACAGCCAGAGAGAGCTCAATGGGAAGTTCAGGTGGCACGACCGAAGTCAGTATTAAAGTACACTCCAGGAAGAGCTTGTAACGGTTCCTGCTAGGATCCTTGGTGCCTACAGAACGAGACGGGAGACCTGTGTACCTCCTCATCCTCAGGCTGTGTGCCCCACAGAACTAAGATGAGTACTGCAAAGAAGCACACCTACCTAGGAAGGGCTGTGGGAGGGCAAGAAAAGCATCCATAATGCAGTGTGGGCCCCTACACTGAAACACTGGCGCAGCCCAACCCAGCTATTGTAACTCTCAGAAATTACGTCAACTGTCCTTCCCACAAGCTTTGGTACAAGTCCTGTGTAGACACCTGGAAGAGGCAAGAAGAAATCTCACCTTCAATCCAGACGTATGCTGCAGCAGCAATGGCAAAGACCAGCAGGAACAGGATGAAAATGAAGGTCTCTAAGTTATTGGCTGTCACTCTCTTCACCCCAAAGAGGATTGTACGTAGCAATTTCCCCTGAGAAGAACAGCCTTCAGTGCAAGAAGCTATCTCTGCAGCATGCAGTAGTTTGTTAAAAATACGTACGAAACCCATTTTTAAAATTACACTCTGGTGTTTTGGTGCCAGAGCCTGAAACTTACTCCCATTTCTGTAATTAATCTGTTAAAAACCCAAACCTCTTCCTAAGTCACTTAAGTTGATGATTTCTTTGAAGCAGTCTTCAATATGCAACTGAAAAAGCTCACGTTCACAGCTCCAGTCTCTTATAAACACACTCAAATGCCCTTTCCCAACAATTACCGTTACAGAAACAGGGACAATCGGGAGCTGTAGTATATACATAGTGCAGCCAGTCACAACAGGAACCCCGAATCCTGCCTCCCAGGCTTCTGCATCATGCATCAGACTACTTAGTGGATACACAAAGAGACCAACCTTATTTATTCCTCTTCCAAACAAACAAGTAATGTTAATGCCCTGAATTCTATTTTCCCATTGCTGTACTTCATAAGGATTTCCTGACAGCGAAGCACTGAATAACACAACCAGCATCATTGACAAGACAGGTGAGAAGGCACATCCACATCTTACCTGAGATGTGTTGAAGCCGGTCCTCAGAGCATATGCCACGCACCCGTTATCGACAGCTGGAACAGGAGCAGGGAGGAAGACAATAAGCTTAGTGTAAATCTTTTATAGGCTCATCACAGACAGCAAACGCTTGACCCTCCTCTCACTTACAAGGGGACACAGACAACTGTAATAGAACATCACAGCAGTCCAATAATGAAAGTGAACCATTAGCAACAGGGCCAAGGAGACTGACAAAATGATACCCTCCAAAAGCTGTACCAAACCATTTAACATAAATCTGTGAGTGCACGACAACGCCCTCTCAGAGGGAATTTGTGCAGGTACATACGTTTCAATCCTGTGCTGGCTTTCTGGGGGGGGATGTGCTGCACCACTTTTGTTCCCCCAAATATGATGTGTAGGCGGGAATCTGCCTGCATGTCCAAGACATGCTCCGGACTGAGATCCTCCACAGGCTCCTGCAGGACAACGTTCACGTCTCAGACTCACAGCTATCAAGACGTAAAATTTTTCAAAAAAGTGTTCCTTTCTGTTCTTATCCCACAAGATGCTCTCAGTTTCACTTCAGCCAAAGGTGGCCTGAACTGAATCTAGACCTTAACATGCCATTCAGCTCCTGATCAGCTTGGGTTTAGAGCCTGCCATCTGTGGAAATTCTGGTTTTGGGGGACTAGTTCAAGGTCAGCACACTGAATTCAGCAAGGGAAGCTCTGCAAGCATTGTTTTATCATTTTTAAGTCACCCACTGGCACAAAAAGAAGGAAGATTCGGGGTTTTGAAGTGCTTTATGCTTGTTCCTCCTCCCACCTCTACCCAGCCAAAGGCATCCAGACTGGGGAATGTGTAGGAGGGCGATGCCATGCCCACACGATGGAATTCAGACCCAAAGGCTGGAGACATTGCCAGACAAAACAGACATTTCTGTTTCTCATTTACCAGAGACCATCAATCACCGATAGGGAGCTGATAACAAACCAGCCAGGTTGCCTGGGACAGCATTCGCACAAAGAGATTCATTTGAACTCACAAATTTTTCCTTTTCTGGCTTGCAACAAAGGGACAACACAGAGGACATTTCACAGACCTTCATCTGTGGCACAGACTCTCCCGTCAGCATAGCCTCATCTACAATACACCTTCCACGTAACAGCAGCACATCACACGGCACTAGATTTTCATGAGGAGATCGCCCTGCAATTAAGATATTAAAACTGAGAAGAAGCTCAAAGGCAGAAGTGACTATTGTTTTGCTATTTGTCTGGCAGGGCATAGCTCTCCTTCAGTTTAGCTGAGATACAGGACATTCCTAAAGCTTCAAATCTCCCATAGGGTGCCAAATCTACCACAGTACGTACCCACTCAGTGTTGCTGAGAACTAAAAGGGTTTGAAGGTTACTAGATCTCTCTTAAGACCAGGAAAGTTTTAAAATCAAGTCACTTTGTTCTCATTGCTATTCAGGCTTCAAAGACTAGTACCACATCCTGGGGTAATACAACCTTAAAAGGGAGAGCATGGTTAAGAGAGAGATTGGCCCTTTCCATCCTAGGAAGATACTGTCAGGAGGAAGGGAAGTCTTCACCTTCACAATCCTAAACTGAAAAATCTGAGGCTGATTTATCTAGGTATTTACCTTTCTTTAAGACAGCTAGCCGGTCTAACCAAAAGATCCAGCCCAAGGATTAATCTCTTGGACCCTTGAACTGTCACACTTAGGAATCAAAGGCCTGAAAAGCACCCGACCAAGACTCTTAGATTTTTATGCCTAATTCAATTTACTGCACAACTTAACGCACCAGAAAGAATCTGATTTTAAACAAGTTTTTGATTACAACCATCATGCACGTCATTACCAATGGAAACGATATCCCCTGGAATAATCTCATCACTGGAAATGGGGCGCCACTTGCGGTTTCTGTAAACCTGTAGGAAAAAAAAGCCCTTTGAGAAGCCCTGCATGCGTCGGAAAAGGATCAGAGGAAAAGGATGGGAAAAAGGAATCAGCTAAATCAGCTACGTCAAAAATTTCATCATAATCCTCTCTAGTTCTGATTACCTGGATCATGTATGGCTTGTTGCCCATTTTTCGAATCTCTGACATGTTCCTCATTTGCTGCTGGACCAGAGAAGCTTCAAATGCAACCAACATGGAGAGAGTGAAAACACTGTAATACCAGTATTCATCCAGGCACCACAAACCCACACAGAACACCTGTGGGAAGAACATGACACAAAAGTTACTCTAAATCTTCCTCAGAAAACAAAAGCCTTCAATTTCTAGGATTTTTTTTAAGCTAACTTGGTACACATTTAGTTGTAGGAAGCCAGAAAAACACAGTAACTTGTTAGGGAGAAACAGGATCACTCCCACAAGTAAAATCAGTATTACAGTGCAAGAAGAGCATCTACTCCTGATTGTAGAAAGCTGCCAGCTGATTTATAGCTCTCCAGTTGGGATTGTAAGGAATTCTCTCATTTTTTTGCAGGGAGAAGCATTTACAGTTCTTTTTGTTGTTCATTTTACCTGAAAGACGAAAAATGGAGCTGTAGCTCTTTCTTTAAAGAGTTCCAAGAACTCTGGCACCACCATCTCAGCCCTGGGAAAGAATTGAATCCTCATTAACCTAAACATTTCAGATTCTCAGCAAAAGCCCAACCCAAAAGCCACCTGCAGCCTCCAGTATCAGACCAGGCTGTACTCCAGAATGTCCATCATCTCCCTGTTTTCAATTACTTTGATTCAGTTGATTTGTTATAGGCAATTAATTTCCATCTATAGCCCAGCCTGGAGAAAACCCCTTGGTCCAATACTGCTCTTTGCCCTTAAAGGAATACAAAGCAAGTACCAGGAGTAATTGAGATTTACAGAACAGGGCTAGAACAGCGGTAAAACCCCGTTGTTGCTGACAGACCAGGATACTTGGGCAAAGAAAGATCTGCACCTGGAAAACTTACTTGTTTGTACCGTATTTCTTCTCAGCTGCCCGGATATCTTTGTCCTCCTGATAGCCTCGGGCATTCTGGTAGTAACAGAGGGGATGTTCCACAGGGAAAGCTACAGGAAGAAACTGTTTCTTGCCATCTATCTCATACGAGTATTTGATTTTCTGAAATTCAAAGGAAAGAGCCTCCTGCCCATCCTCACCCTGCAGAGAGGGGAAAAAAACCAAAACACAACCAGTTGAACACACACCGAACGCTTCACTCCACACATAACCTGGCCTGAAGAAGGAAAGAAACCCCAATCCCTTATATCATTAGTTATTGTACAATTCTGCTTGTGGTACACGCATCAAGAAACACCGTGCTATCTTTAACATCCCCACTTTTGACTGACTGAAGCTGACTTTTCCCTAACTACTTAAGTTAGAAGCTAATAAACTGCAGGCTGATGGCACAATGTAGCAGTTCCCTGGCACGTGACAAGTGTCAGTTCTGCTCCCGACAGCCATATCCTTACCTGGTCTCTGTGGAGCGGCACTAGTTCTACTGATCCGTTATTTGGGGTTGGCACAACTTTAGCCAATGTGGCTTTTTTAGGACAAGGTTCCTGAAACGCAAACAAGACACGCTTTATAAAGCGGATGGCAGACCCTGAATTTCAACGCGCTGGGAGGAATCCTTGCCAGATCGCATTAAGACACACAAAGAGCTCTTTGCAGCTGAGTGCTTTTACAGAGCTATTGTTAGAATGAAAGACATTCTGATTACCACAACTCATCCCCAAAATTGTACCCTACCACCAAAGGAAGCGTACTCAGTACTTCACTTGCAGTTAAGACGTGTTTAGCTGCCGGTAAGACATGGTTACAACAGTGACTGCAAAAATGGCAACCAGCTGGTCCACCGTCAAAAGACAGAACGTTCGACACTCGCAAAGGCGGTCAGCCCCTGCCCCGAACACTCAGCTCATCCCAGGCTGCCTGTGTGCAGGCACATTGCTGGACTCCCCGACGCTGCTTCGGGGCTGGGG